CGTGGCAGTTTTGTATTTTGAGCTTGATCAACGGCGTTAAGGTCAAATGTTCTATGACAACTAACAACGAGGGCCACGTTGAGATAATATTTCATGTATAGGGGGGCAAATGAATAGAATAGGGTAAAGTGATACCGAGCCAAAGTAAAAGGGGGGAAAGTAGAATTTCCCCTAAAATTTATATCACTAACCAATAGAGATAGTCAAGCCACCAAAAGTGAAGTCTCCGAGTAACTAAAACATGACAATCCAATATAATCATCTAATGCAAAACTACCAATAGCAATATAAAGCCCATTTAACAGATTATTTCCTATTTATCCACTCACAATTCATAACATTAGCAAAGATTAATAACATGGCAGTTCAATTCCTATTTTCATAAACGGGATGTGGAATACCAAGAGCCACGTAAATTAAAAATTAAATTATGGTTTCCAGAAAATGTATAGCTTAATTAGTCGTGTTGGAGAAAGACTCACAACTTTGATGAGATTGGATCACTGGCTAAACCCAAAGTCATGCAACATCACCTTTGGATTAAGCAAATAAAGCAGTTGCAGGATCAATACATTTTCTTTCTTTTGTTATGAGTCCCTGATAATGTACATACGTGAATTTGAATTGACAAGAAGAAGCCAATTGAAATAGAAAGTCCTTACAAACTTCACGTAAAACATTCTTAGTCACAAACTATATCACAATGAATCTTACCTGCCAATACATAAATAAAGAATTGAACGGAAAAATAAAATGTAATTGCAAGTAAATTTAGTAGATAAAAGTTAAATCAATAATCCCCATGCATAGATCATTAATTTTATGAAATTGAAACACGTGTTTTGAATTACCTGAGTAGAAATAATTTTAAATCAATAATCCCCATGCATATAACCCATACATGTTTCATTAGGTCAATTAATTCAAATGAATAAAAAAAATTAACTTAGTACATAGAAGTGGGAAAAATATGCAAAATAACTTACGAACTTTATTAACAGAGGCTCAATCCGATCTTGATATGGAGGATTTATTCCTTCATTAATCTAGAAAACTTTATCAATTTCTAAAAATTTAGGGTTCAAACAATTAAACATAGAACTAAAAACACAAAAAATAAATAAAAAAGAAGAACACGAAAAAGAAATCGAGAAGAGAAAGAAAAGATGAATGAGAACTTGAAACTGGAAGTTACGATCATTTATTTCTTTCTTTGGTGTAACTGATGCAAAATTGAAATTCATATTGAATTATCGACCATTGAGTTTCTTTGAATTTCTTAACGGAAAAATAAAATGTAATTGCAAGTAAATTTAGTAGATAAAAGTTAAATCAATAATCCCCATGCATAGATCATTAATTTTATGAAATTGAAACACGTGTTTTGAATTACCTGAGTAGAAATAATTTTAAATCAATAATCCCCATGCATATAACCCATACATGTTTCATTAGGTCAATTAATTCAAATGAATAAAAAAAATTAACTTAGTACATAGAAGTGGGAAAAATATGCAAAATAACTTACGAACTTTATTAACAGAGGCTCAATCCGATCTTGATATGGAGGATTTATTCCTTCATTAATCTAGAAAACTTTATCAATTTCTAAAAATTTAGGGTTCAAACAATTAAACATAGAACTAAAAACACAAAAAATAAATAAAAAAGAAGAACACGAAAAAGAAATCGAGAAGAGAAAGAAAAGATGAATGAGAACTTGAAACTGGAAGTTACGATCATTTATTTCTTTCTTTGGTGTAACTGATGCAAAATTGAAATTCATATTGAATTATCGACCATTGAGTTTCTTTGAATTTCTTATATAACTAACATTTCATAGATACATGAGTTCATCTTTTCAGATGCCTTTATACATTGAACTCTAAAAAATATCAATTATTTTCGTAAACATACATTAAAAAACTAATTATAAATTAATATTAATTATTTTATTTTTGATAGGGGCATTTTGGTCATCACAAAAAAGGGAAGAAACCTCCCCTAACATTCCCACTTTTATAAGTAGTATAAATTTTTATCAAGAGCGAGTAAAGAGGTGTTAATTAAAGTTGTACTTAAATCGACCCATCTTATGTTAAGGGTTGTTTTCTTATTCCAAATGGAATTCTACAGGAGATTGAAAAATCAATTAAACAGTATTGGTGGGGTTGACCTGAGTCTTGAGATGTGTTTGGTAGTGCCTATTCTTCCTCACAAGTAAATAGCATTTTCTTGGTAATTGCATGGAAAACGACCTTAGCTTCGGTTTCCACAAAAATATTATTATTATATGGAAAAAACAAGTCTTTAAATTGTTCTCGATGAAAGTGATATCTAATTAATTGGAATGAGATTAGTCCTCAAATTTCATTTATAGCTCTATAAATATCCACTCTCTATTTCTTCCCAATTCGTAACAAATATTCCCCACTCCTCTCGCAAATCTAATTTTTTTTTTTTGCCTTCTTCGATCCTTACATTGAGACCATCTTAAAAGTCCAACAAATTCAAGAAAAATGAAGGTATTTAGCATAAATTAAACTTCAAGCTCTTCCTATTATATTCTTTGTTCTTGATTTTGAAACTAAATTGTTTGTTTTAATTTAATTTGCTTGATGAATTGCAGACGAAGATTGTGGTTAAGGTGTCAATGAACGACGACAAATCTCGAACAAAGGCCATGCAAATATCGGTCGGAATATCAGGTGTTGAATCGGCCGCTCTAACGGGGCAGGAAAGGGACAGGGTGGAGGTTGTCGGAGATGACGTGGACGCGGTGGAGCTGACGCGGCAGCTGAGGAAGAACGTTGCCTACGCGGAGCTTGTGAGCGTGGGTGAGGCCAAGAATGAGGCGCCCGCTACCGCCGCCGCCGCCGTGGTTGCACCCGCCCCGCAGCCGGCGGTGGTGTGGACGTCGTACGACAGATTCCCGCAATACCCAATTTATGAAATGAGGAGTCCAAGCTATGAGCCGTCGTGTACCATCATGTGAATATATATATAAATATAGGAGAAATAGTGAAAATTAGTTATTATTTATTTACAATACTTGAGGCTTAATTTCGGTAGGACTTTACACCCTCGAATTACATGCACCATTGACACTATTGACACTCTATACCCTTAAATTGAAAAAAAAAATAGAAGAATGCACCCTTAATTACGACTTATTTGGCACTTCGCACCCTTTTTAACCTTTTTAAAAACAAAAATGACTGTTACCGGTTTGAGGGATTTTAAGATGGGAATTTTTTCTTTATTTTATTTGTAAGAAATTTAAAAATAGTCATATAATATAATCTGATTCATCGGTTTCTTTAATTGGAGTGACATATTTCTCTTCAATTTTGTTTTTTCTTTTTCATTCTTTATTTTCTTCCACAACCAATCCCGGTCAAAAACTCTGGAGCAACCATTGCCCTGAAAACTAACTCCAGCAGTGGATTTTGTGCAATCTCTAGCGGCGGATTTTGAGCAATAGTGAATTGAAAGCATAACAATGCCTATAGGTTCAGAATTGGGGATCTCAATATAATTAAGCCAATTAACTTTGAAATGGTGGTGGTGGTGGTGGTGGATTGAAACAGATAGACTATAAGTGGGGGACGAAGGAAAGAAGCCACGGGAAAAAAAGTCACTGGAAGAAGAAATGAACGATGGCTTGAGAGATGTGTGTTTGCGATGACGCTTTCAGCCGTAGCGGCGATGGTGCGGTGGGCGGCGGAGAAGGAGACATAAAGTTAGGAAACTTGGATGCAAAGTTGGGGAAATTGCCTCCGGCGAATTTCTGTTTTTTTTTTTTTTTTTGAAAAATTGCAATCAAGGGGGTAAGAGGGTAGCTGACATCGGCGATTTGGATTTACATGGTGCAGCCGGAAGGTTTCATATCTTCTGGAAGTGAGCAAAAGGTTTGCAAACTCCAACGATCCATTTATGGATTGAAACAAGCATCCCGTAGTTGAAACATAAGGTACGAATCAACTATCAAAGAGTTTGATTTTGAGAAGAACCCGGAGGAACCTTGTGTATAGAAGGAGGTTAGTGGGAGGACAGTGATTTTTTGGTGCTTTATGTCGATGACATTCTACTCATTGCGAATGACATAGGAATGTTACAACATACTAAAGCTTGGTTGTCCACACGTTTCTCAATGAAGTATTTGCGAGAAGCATCTTACGTATTATGAATACGTATCTATAGAGATAGAGCTAGAAAGATGCTAAGCTTATCCCAAACCCTGTACATAGACGCCGTTATGAAATGGTTTAGCATGGAAGAATCCAAAAAAGGATTCTTGCCAATGTCCCATGGGGTTCGTTTCTCAAAATCCATGTGTCCTCAGACACCTAGTGAAATCGAGGAGATGAAAAGGCATCATATGCATTTGCCATAGGAAACATAATGTATGGCATGCTATGTACTAGACCCGATATTTCATATATTGTGAGCGTCACAAGCAAATATCAGTCTGACCCCGGTCCAGCTCACTGGAATCTGGAAGGTTGTGAAAGATTATCCTCAAATACTTACGAAGGACAAAGGATATTTTTGGTCTATCGCTTGAAATTAGAAGGCTTTACCAACTCTAGTTTTTAATCGGAGTGGACGACTCAAAGTCGAACTCGGGATTTATATTCACGCTTAATGGGGGTGTCGTGTGTTGGAAGAGTTCCAAGAAAAGCACGACGGTTGATTCCACTACCGAAGTTGAGTATATTGCAGCATCCGAAGCTGCAGAAGAAGGGACTTGGATAGGGAAACTCATCCAAGAGTTGGCCGTGTTGTTTCTAATGCTAATGATCCAGTACAGTTGTACTGCGATAACACCGGAGTCGTGGCGCAAGCTAAGGAGCCGAGATCTCATAAGAATTCCAAGCATATTCTGAGGAAGTATCATGTGATCCAATATAATAGATCATTGATAGAGGTAAAGTCAAGGTAGAACGAGTCACCTCGGAAGAGAACGTAGCAGACCCCTGCACGAAGCCTTTATCAAAATCGATCCACGAGAAACATCGAGAGTCGATGGAATTACGATTTATGGGTAGTTGATTTTAGGTCAAAAGGGAGATTAGAGTAGGTGACCAACAAGCCAACTTGTGGTTGTGGTCTTTCATTTATTCTTGTAATAAATAATCCTTTTTCGTATTAATGATAAAATACCTTTTGGCGTTCTATATATTTGCCCCCTGCATAAGCATAGATATAGTCCTTACGGTTATTATAATTGCTTATATTTGATCTATTAGGATCATGAGATATTTACTTAAGTATTATAACTGTTCAACCGTGTTCCTAGTCGAAGGGTTACGCCACCATGAGGATATCGGCATTTCCCATTAAGAGACTAGCACTTAGTGCATGTTACTGCTTTTCATCAATAAACGGTATTGTGATATCGGCATACATAAGTGGGTGCTCGTAAGTTGACGAGTTCACTGAACTCCCTCATCCTAGAAATGTCTAAGTGGTTCTCAATAATCGAGTAGAGATCTCTATGATATAGTTGTACACTATTAGTCCTTAAGACCTAGACATCACCGTGACTTCACTAGAGGACCAGCTGTATCGTGACCTGTCCCTGAGTTCCACCGAGTACGGCCCCAAGAGCCAGTGTTCGTGCAGTCTGATATCTAGTGGGAGGTTTGTGCATTGTAGTCGGGGATTCAATCGCTAGAATAGTCTTGGATGTCCTGTGTGTTCTCATAGTTTGTAATCTTTAAGTCTCTGGCCAGAGCTGACTAAGTGATGATTAGGGAATGTGATTCTCTAAGTCATGCACGTACCGATTACAACACTTAGAACGATCGCACAGTTATTGAAATATAAATGAGGTCTCGATGAGCCAATTCCTCTAGTTCAACCGGGACATATGCATCGAAGGGATCGTACTGTGCGTTAACTATATCACACGGTTCTTACAAGCACTTCATTTGTATCTAGGGAATCATGATGCGTAGTTGCTAGACGCCATTCTTGATTCGTTGGGTGATTAAGTTGAAACGGGCTTCATCTTAATTATAACTCTAGGGACGAGTATAAACCACAATGAGTTGTGGGCCCAAGGCTAGATTACACCTGAACCATCGAGGGTCACACTACCATCCATCGCCGGAAATCGGCGCCCCACCTGCCGTTTGTTCTCGGTATACTTTTATTTTATTATTCTTCGGTTTTATTCTGACTTTTGCGTGTCTAGTGCCACATATCAGTTGAATTCGGTATACGGGGTGAAATCCGAGAGGAGGAAGACGAATGAATTGAACTTCCGAAACGCCGCCGCCCCACGCGCCCCCGAAGACAACGCATGAACCGAAAGCGCCGTTGCTCCCCCGCGCGTCTGTCACCGCCGCTTCTCCCGACTGCACGGATTGGTTTCCATGGCAGTTTGAGTCAATCCGAAAGTTCGCATCACGCTTCAAGAGGTTATTTTCGGACCCGGTTATTAATTAATATTAATTTAATTTGAATAAATTAAATGTGTTTATATATGCAGTGTTTATGCATGATTTGTGATTTACTGCGATATTGCTACGTGATTTAATTAGCGAATTAATTATATGCATGTTTGTTTTTAATTTACGCTGGAAGCATTAAGATACGCAATTAATTGCTATTATCGAGTACGTGTTTATATGATTAAATTCGTTTTTGATATAAAAAATTTATTTTCCGCTGCGTAGACTTGCCTGATTCCCAACAATTTTTACATAGGTTTTACGCGTATCATCTACCTCCTTCTCTTCCCTATCTTTCTGCTCTATACCATTCACATCTATTTTTGTTTCTTTGTTTTCCTTTTCCTCCTATTTTCTTTTGTTTTATCCATCCCAGTCCCTTCTCCTATATTCTCATCAATTTCCATTTCTTTTTCTTTGTCATCTGCTTCATCTTCCCCATTTTTTTTCCTCTATCCCATTCCCTTCTCCTATATTATTCTCGTTTCTTTGCTCTCTCCTTCTCTTCTTCCCTATTGTTCTCCTCTACATCTCTTTTTTTTTATCTTTTCTCTGGAATCTTTTTGCTACTGGTTTCATCCTCCTCCTCTTCTTCTCTTTTCTCTTGTTTTTTTCCTTCTTCCCCATCGTCTTTTTTTCCCTCATTCTTTGCCCTCTTATCTTGTTTCTTCTTATTCACAAGTGTCTCAGTCTTCCTCGTGTTCTTCTTCCCACCTCCTTTCTTCAATGTCTTCTTTTTATTGTTCATCGGGTCAAAAAAAAGACGCATTGGCTTGCCAAAATCCTTGAAATAGGCAAAGTATAGGATCCAAAAAAAAAAATTAAGAAATAGTACATGCTTATTATCTCGATAGTGCATAAATAACATTATAAAGATTTGTGTGAGCACTCAATGTCGTATGTAAGCAATACACTAAATGTGATTTCTTAAATCCTAAAACCAATAACAATAAACATAGTTGTTGGTCAATATTTGGAATGTATAGAAGTAGTACTTACATATTGTTCTTCTTCGTGCTCAATCTCCTCGTTTTCTTTTTTCTGTTTCTTCATTTCATCTATTTCTTACCTCAAAGATGCAATTACTTTATATCTAGCTTTAAGAAGGATTGTTGCTTCTAAAGTGTTCGAGAACATCCCATCTATATTTTCATTGTAGACAATATACAAATAACTAATCACAATAATACCATGGGACAACTTCGTACATACTAAACTTCTCTGGAAATTTGTTGTTCTAGCACACCAAAAAAAAAAAAAAAACAATCAAAACTCTATAAATAAAAACTACAGTGTTTTGCAACCTAAAATGGCGTGAATATAAACGAACATATTTGTATCAATAAAATAAAAGTGAAGAGTCATAATACCCCACTGCTTAAATCCTCAAAATCGTGCAATTCAACGAAAATAACAGGGTTTCGAAAACTCTAACAACAAAATAACAGTTTTTCGGTACCGTTAGGTTTTCAAATTGGATCAAACCACCATGCAATTGTTAGAAGAGCACAAAATCAAATATTTATAGAACAGGGTACCGCCCTTTAGATATACAATTTTGAGAAGGATAATCGTCATCAATTTTCTCTCTCGGGAATGCACAACGTTTGACTTGAAGTGATTTCAAAACAGACAGAACAATTAATGTTGTTGTCCGAAAACGTTTGTCGAAAAACGTGCCAAAAGTTTGTTGGAAAATGTTATGGAAAATGTTTGGGTATCAATAAATGAATAAATGTGTATTGGAAACGATTTCGTTAAACATAATTTTATGTCTAGTAGCGTTTTTTAAGTGAAAATGAAGTGTAACTGTAATACTAATCTAAAGTGAGGGACATTCCAGGCATTTCACGATGGGTAAGAAGTAAA